ATATGTAGGTATGTGTATGTATCTATGTAGGTATGTGTATGTATATAGGTACGTGCATGTGTGAAACTGGCAAAAAGAGCCCCCTTTGATTCATCCACTGAATGTGTATACGAATGTATGATATTTTTTTCTTATTCTTTTATTTCTTGCCTGCCCAAGTAATTAAGGGGTTTGTTGTTTGTTTGTTTGGTTGGTTGGTTGGTTGGTTGGTTGTTTTTCTAATTGCCCATGGTTATCAGCAGGACACAACCGCCAAAAGCAATCAGCTCTGGTGCCAGAAGAGTAAAAGAGAGTTCAGAATTACAAGAATTACAGCTACAAGCAGTACTTGTTTCAAGCCACCAAAGCCACTAGCTACGTAGGACTCCTTCCCCCTTTTTTCTCTTTTAATTGCCTGCCATGATCAACAGAGACAATCTGGAAGCTCCTCAACTTCCAGGAGCTACCAGGATTTTGACCCACTGTTAACTCTGTGCCCCACCTCAGTTTACCCTGGGTGTCAAAGCTGGTATTTGACACTTAGAATACTTAAAGAGCTACCTATATTGAACAAAATATGCTAAACACTGAGAATAATACCCAGACAAGCACACAATGATCAACTTAAGAAGACTCAACTAACACTCAAAAGAATGGAGGAAAAGCTGTCCACCCTGACTTCGGGAAACTTCAGCTCCATCTAGGAACCGTATGCAAACATGAATAAAAGTAAGAACGACAGTAATAATGCATGAATCCACCTCAGATCAGGTCAAAATGAAATAGTTGATGAAGAAAAACTTCTGCAGAACTCAACTCCACAGGAGTGGAAAGGTAGAACATCTATTGCTGCAAGCACAAATAAGTATTTAGCCTGAAGAAGTGTAGGGAAACTAGCCAGCCCAGCCACAGGACAAGCGTAGACAAAGCAGAAGAGGCACATATGAAAAGTCGTTTTTCATCCGGCTCCTTACAGCCGGCTAACTCTAATCCAATCCCACTCTTGGAAGCAACGTCAGCCGCATCTCTCCCTAGTGTTTCTGGAAAACGAGCTGCTTCCATCCCATACTCAGTCATCTCTTTCCCCCTCATCTGAGCCTACTTTCTTCCTGAAACCACCCCCACTCCTGCCATGACCCCATTTGTATCCATCCTTGGGTAGAACACTAAGAAGTCTTCTCTCTAACTTCTCTGCTGCTTTACTGTGTGGCTATTTGAGTTCTATTTGGTTTGTCCTGCCTTTTTAGCCATAGGGATCACCAAATGAATAACTTGATATCTTTCATGTGTTGTAAATTCTCAGTCACTCATTGTTTTGCCCTGTTCTCTCCTCTTGTCTCCTGTCCCTCATCCTCTCCTTAAGGGATTGGTTTGGTTGAGACAGTGCCTCCCACTGTAGCCCAGGCTGGCTTGATAATCTTCCTGGCTAGCCTCCTGAGTGCTTCAGTTTAGAGCATGAGCCACCATACCTGGCATGCATTATTACTGTACTGCCATCCTCTCTTATCCTTCTGATCGTTCACTATTCTCTTTTCTGTGGAGCTCACCCTTCCAGTCTTATATTCTTCTCTTTGGAGAGCTTCTATTGGCCATCGTTTAATTTATTCTTTTCAACTGCCTACCAGCTTCTACTCAGTCCTCCCGCTGAAAGCTGTTTGGTTACTTCGGGCTTCTGCTTTTCAAGGTGTATGATTTTCTCTCCAGCAGGAAGTCAGCTTAGAATCAATAGAAATCCCAAACTGCCTCAATCCAGGTAGGAACAGGATTTATTCTGTCCCCTCGAAGGCTGGTCTGTTTTCAGCTTCAATCCACCGATTCACCTAGATTACCCTTTGTGGTAACAGCTGTTTTTAGCAAGGGACTAATCTAGGTTTTGCATTTCCAAGTGATTTCTGATTCCAGAAACTCTGTTTTGAAGCTACCTCTAGAATTAGCTATGTTCTTTTTTTAATATAATTAAAAATATAATTTAATTAAAATGTCAATTAGTTTTTAAAATTTTTATAAATTCTTTGAGAATGCCATATAATGGATTTTTTTAGTTTCTTTTTTATTATTTTTTATTGGATATTTTATTTACATTTCAGATGTTATACCCTTACCCCTCCACCCCCCACCCAGGAACCCATATCCCATCCCCCCTCCTACTGCTTCTATGAAGATGTGTCCCCACCTACCCCCCACACCTGGCGTCCAGCCTTCATGGGACCAAGGATCTCCTCTACCACCTATGCCAGAGCCATCCTCCCCTACATATACATGTAGGGAGCCATGAGTCTCTCCCTATGTGCTCCAGTAGGCTGGGAGCTCTGCTTGGTTGGTATTGTTGCTCTCCCCATGGGGCCACAAACCCTTTCAGCTCCTTCAGTCTTCACTCTAACTCCTCCATTGAGAACCCCTTGATCAGTTCAATGGTTAGCTGTGAGCATTTGCCTCTGAATATGTCAAGCTCTGGCAGACCTCTAAGGACACAGCTATATCAGGCTCCTGTCAGCATGCATTTCCTGACATCCACATCAGTGTCTACCTTTGGTGATTTAGCTATGTTCTTGAAGGAGGAAAAAAGTTCTAAATACAAAAATCCTTCTAAACTTCCTTTTCTCAGCAGAGCCTGTATCAAAGCCTCACTACTTCAGCAGCCCCCGTCATCCAGAGCATTGCTGCTGTATTTCTGTCCTTGCTAGCCGGTCTACAAAGGGAACTGGTCCCAAAACCAGAACATGTCATGCCAAAATCACTTAGATGTGAAGATGCTGGCTAACAAATACTTAAGCTATAGCTAAAAATAATAAAATACACACATACATACATACACAGAGAGAAAGAGACAGAGACAGATAGACAAGACAAGACAGACGAAGGAGCAGGCATACGCAGACAGAGATGTACACAGACCTACATACATACACACACACACACACAAATTAACCCACTCTAGACTATATTTAAAAATATATGTTTCAAACAAGAGAAATGAAGTATCGCTTCAAAATCTAGAAGCAATAATAAGTACTGGAAATTTATCACTCTAGAAATCAGATAAAATTTAGAATAATGTCCAGCCTAATGCTATAACTTTTCATAAGGGGATGGAAAGATGGCTCAGCAGTCAAGAAAACTGGGTGCAAGGTGACAGGAGAGAACCAACTCCTGAGAGTTGTCCTCTGACTAGCCATGAGCTGTGAATGTATGCACATACACACACACACACACGAATAAAGTACATTTTTAATGGCCTTAGTAAATAATAATGAGGATTTTTGAATGAATTAAAGAAATTACAAATAAATGTTTAGCAAATACATTATGAGCACTTAAATATTAGCATAATGAAGTATGCATCATTATGTTCATTTTTAAATAATGAGACTCAGTTTCAAAGATTCAAAAGATTTAATAACTTGTTCCAAGTAACCAAGGTAATTTCTAAGGAAAAAAAAATCAGAATTCAATTTAAACTCTGACTCAAAAGACTATATTTCTTCCATAAGCCTCAAGGAAATTC